CAGATCTGATAGGTGATTTTTTTCTCTGATCATCACTTCAATTAAAAATGTTGAAAGTTATTCAGCAAAGAAGTGAAGCATTTGCAATTGTTCAGCTAACAATGTCACAGAAAACTCTTGACATCTCAATGCCCAATTTAATTTTTTAATAGTTTCTTTTTTAAAATGTAAAGAGAATATACACTTTCTTTCCGGGGGTAGGGGGAGTAGTAAAGAGATTGTTTATTGGGGTATTTTTTCTAATCTTATTTCACTTTTATATAAGAAGGTTAATTTAGCCCTGCTCTCTAAATTAATATCCATCTCCCAGTGATTAGATGCTAGCACAGTACTTTTTAAATGTTAATGTTCATCTGAACCAATGCAGTGATTCTGTAGGTCTGGTATGGGTTTGTTAGAAATGCAGAATCTTTTTTTAAAAAAAAAATATTTTATTGATTTTGTACAGAGAGGAAGGGAGAGAGTTAGAAACATCGATGAGAGAGAGTCATCGATCAGCTGCCTCTTGCACACCCCCTACTGGGGATATGCCCGCAACCAAGGTACATGCCCTTGACCGGAATCGAACCTGGGACCCTTCAGTCCGCAGGCCGATGCTCTATCCACTGAGCCAAACCAGTTTCGGTTACTTGTAAAACTATTTTTTAGATAAAGTATTTTCCTTAACATAAAATTTCTTTGATTCTTAGCTGACTTTGAAGTTAGTTCTTGTTGGTTTATTCTACCTAATGCCAAGTGGTTTGTGTAGCTAATCAAATGCAAACACTTTCCCTACTTGTCCTCATTTGAGAAGGTTTGTTTCAGAACCTGTTTTTCTTTATTCTACTGGCATAGCAGAGGGGTTTTCACCTTAAGTAATATAATGATAGGATTATCAGTGGAATTAAGTGGCATATTACATCATATCTTTGTTTCTGATTCATAATAAATAAATGAGTTTCTAGTGCTTTAAGACAACATGTTAAAAGAAAAGAAAATGAAATCCATGGGAAATTTGTTGAACTTTGTATTAAAAAAAGAAAATTATAATGATCACCCACAAGCCTCTAAATTATTTTATAAATCCAATTTTCTTTATTCATAGATGACAAGGCTTTGGGATTCTGGAAAATCATTATTTAATTTGAGGTACATTCATACCACATTAAAACTATAACAGAAGAACTCTGACATTTCTGACTATTTTTCGGATTATAATGAAAATTAATAGTGAACTGCTTAGGATTCTACACTATAGGGTTCCAAAAGAAAGTGATTATGTGGCTAAGCTTAACAATGAATTTCAGTCTTACAGACACTCTCAACTCTGATAAAATTTATTGGATCACGTTTAAAATTAACCATGCTTATGCCATTCTAATACTGTCTTCTTTACACCTTAACCTTGATCTGATACTCATTTCCACGAGGATTTCCAACATGATGTACTGAGAATTTGTTTACTAACATAAACTCTAATAAAATAAGTAATGTGCATTGTAAAGGAAGGCTTACTAAATATATTTTAAATCAAACCTGATTTTTCGAAAGCCTGAGAACAAAGATCTCACACTATTTTATGTCAGTACCTTTAGAGAGGAGCTGATACATTGAGCCTACATAATTGAAAGCACAACCACAGAAAAATCAAAAGAGATAATATTTCTATAGAATTGCTGCAGTGTCTGCTACAGTTTATTTTTTTTAATAGATTTTTATTTTATTTCAGAGAGGAAGGGAGAGGGAGAGAGAGAGAGAGAAACATCAATGATAAGAGAAAATCACTAATTGGCTACCTCTTGCAAGTCCCTCACTGGGAATTGAGCCCACAACCCAGCCATATGTCCTTGACCAGGAATCAAACCAGGGACCTCCTGGTTCATAGCTTGATGCTCAACCACTGAGCAATACAGGCCAGGAACCTCATATCACTATAAGATACATAAGTTAGCTGAAACCGGTTTGGCTCAGTCAATAGAGCACCGACCTGCGGACTGAAAGGTCCCAGGTTTGATTCCAGTCAAGGGCATGTACCTTGGTTGCCAGCACATCCCCAGAAGGGGGTGTGCAGGAGGCAGCTAATCGATGTCTCTAACTCTCTACCTTTCTCTCTTCCTCTCTGTAAAAAATTATAAGAGATTATAAGAGATTATAAAAAATCAATAAAATACATATTTTTTTTAAAAAAAGATACATAAGTTAACATAGCTTACTGAGCAAAGGAGGTCTTGGGGAAAAAAGGATGAAATGAAAGTGCATTCCAAGTCACCATCTATTCCCAGGAAATATTTGCTGCTGAAGAGTAAGACTTTACTCTTTGCTTTTGTCATAGAAAGAGTTCTCATGAGCCTTGCAATCCTAAATATATTTTATAATGTTAACCTTAAAATACACAGGCAATTTTGCAAAGTAAAAATCATACCAATAACATTAGCCTGTGGTTTAAGGATTTCTTACTATTGTTTTAAAGTTAATGATAGTTTTTCAATTAATTTTAATTAGTCTCTGAACTAATATAAAGTTTACCTTTCCTACATATTCTATTATCTATTTTACCACTAATAATTTTTTCACAGCCATGATTTTAAATCAGTTTCCTTAATTACTTGCTCTTCACAAATGTTAAAATATTAACATTCATTATGCAAATTTTTATAGTTCAAAGATATCTGGATTGATCAAAGTTTTGTGCTGTCCATACAATTTTATTTTTTGATTTGCAGAGGTTTGTGGTAAGTTGTGTTTCTTCATTCTCTTAAGACTATATATTAATATGTAAAGTGTCTAATCCTTTCATGTTTATAAATGTAGTAAATTGATTATAATCTCTGAACTACAACCAAGACTTTTAAATTATTATGTTTTACATGATAATAGCCAATGTTTTAAGAAAATACATAAGAAAATAGAGACATTTAAAATTATATTGAGTGGAAGAAAAACCAGTCCCAGACGACTAAGTACAGTATGATACCATCTTTAGAAAGTTCAAAATAAGCAAAACTAAATATATTGGGCTAGAGTATGTTCATTTATGCTAAGACAATAAAACAAAAAAGTGATGAGGAAGATTCAAGTTGGCTGTAATGCATAAGGGGTGTGCATGAGGATGGGATGGGGCAGTGGCACATATTATAGATAGTTTCAAGTTATTGGGATGCATGCACAGACAGACACACACGCACTCACACACACACACACACACACCACTTAATAGTAAAAACACACACACTTTATAGTAAAAAGTATTATGTACTTTTTAAATCTGAGAAAACCAGGAGATTTAGATTATTCAGGAGCAAATTGATGCTGAAATCATAGGAACTCAGGGTACCATATTGTTCTAAAAATGCTGAGCATTATGTCCTGTCAGTAATACACTTTTCACTGTATTTCTTAACTTATGGAAAATATTTAGTGAGATACCAAGTCACTGAACTATGAATAATTCAAATTAATAATGTAGTTTCTTTTATTAACCAACTTTTAAAATGCTTGTGTCAGAATAAGATGAGTAGTTTTAATTAATCAATAAGGATAAAAGAAACATAAAGAAAGAATAAAAGAAATTTCAGATTATTCTACTCATATTCACAGTTACTGTTATATGGTCATATAATGAAAGCATTATTTCTAGCAGGTATTTGTAGAGCTATGCTTTTGATGCCAGAGACTGGGTTTCGATTTCTATCAAATCATGTAGGAAAAGATTTCTCTTCCTAGTAAATAGTGTGGAAAGCAATAATAAATTTAATTTAATTACCAGATATGAGACTTTGGAGGAAAGAACAATCTCATATTAATATAACATTACCATTTTAATAAAATAAGTTTCTCTCATTATTCTAGGCAGATTGGAATCTAAGAGATGAAATTAATGTATAAATTCTTTCACTTTTATAAAATACTACAGGCCTGATGCACAAAACTCGTGAAGAGTAGGCCTTCCTTCCCTTGGCTGCTGGCACTGGCTTCCCTTGTGCAGTTCCTGGGTTTCCCTCACAGCCCCAGCTTTGTCTGGAAGGTCATCCGGAAGGATGTCCTGTCTAATTAGCATATTATGCTTTTATTATTGTAGACTAGAGGCCTGGTGCATGAAATTTGTGCACGAGGTGGGGGAGTTCCTCAGCCCAATCTGGGACATCCCTTCACAATCTGGGACTGCTGGCTTCCAATCGCTCACCTGCCTGCCTGCCTGATTGTCACTAACTGCTTCTGCCTACCAGCCTTATCACTCTCTCACCACCCCTAACCATTCCCTTGCCAGCCTGATTGACACCTAACTGCTGGAACAGTTCCTTATTTCATTGCTAAGGAGTACTACAGGGACTAGTTTTAGCAATATTAACATGTAAGCTGTCTAGAATAGTTCAGCAGGACTATCCTCCTCACCACTAGTTGTATAAATATTTGCCTTTACTTTTAAAAAAGAAAATTTCTCTTGGTGTCTTGTGGTGTACCAGTGGTTGGCAAACACCTTAGTCAATAGTGCCAAATATCAACAGTACAACAATTGAAATTTCTTTTGAGAGCCAAATTTTTAAAACTTAAACTTTTTCTAATGCCACTTCTTCAAAATAGACTGACCCAGGCCAAAGTATTTTGTGGAAGAGCCACATTCAAGGGGTCAAAGAGCTACATATGGCTCACGAGCTGCCGTTTGCTCACCATGGTGATATACTTTTTGGGTGAAGGAATAATACAAGTTAACTAATTTGAAACAAGTCCTGAGGATCTAGTCTGAATTTAAGTAGATTGCTTGCCCTAAAATTCTCAAATAATCTAATATTTAACTCTTTTAATCCCTAGATAGATAGATATAGATATAGATATATTGAATGGAAATGTAAGGTCCTTTCAAAGATACCTTGAAATAAAGTTTAATATTATGGAAATTAATTGAGGCAAGTGTAATTACACTTGGACTTGATTGAATGGAATAAGCAACTGAGAATTTTTTTTTCATGCTTGTCATATTTGTTCACACTTTAATTTCACAGGAAGAATAATCTTTACTGTACCTGACGAGGAGTTCTTTCTGATTTACTCCTACACCATTCCCAGTCTGAAAGGTCTGGTTTCTGACTCTCCTCATGAGAAAGTCTTCTTTCTGGCCCTTCCAAAAAGGCGGTTTCTTCATAGTGAATATCACCTGTTTTTTCAAAGAGCAGAGGGTCAATGCCCTTTTCATTGTGGGAATCCTGGTTAGCCTCTATAATATCAGTATTCGTATACTTGTGAATGCCTTTACGTGTAGAGCTGTCCAGGGAGGGTGGAGTGCTGATTTCCACTTTTATGGCACTGAAGACATTAGGAGTGCCTCTCTGAGAGTCTTTTGGAGTTTTACATTCATAGTTCATGAAATTGTGATAGGATGTAGAATTTTCATCATCACCATAGTAATCTTCATATGCTATTTTATAAATTCCATAACTTTGTTCAAATGATAGATTGAATTCAAAGCAGCTTCTCTTGGCTAAGTAAAAACAAAAACAAAATTCCATGGTTAGAAAAGTAGATATAAACAATAGTTGAATATACATAGTAAATAAAATTAGGAAAGTGCATTCAGCCTCATTACTATGAATTTAAAAACTATCCTCATTTACTTCTTGTCAATTATGCAAAGCAATTATGCCTCACAAATTCAAGTCATTTTTTTCACTCTGTGCCTAATGTTTCTCACTTGTACAATGAGAAGCTTGAAATACATCCAATTCCAAGAACCCAGTAGACTTTAAAGCAGTTTTATGTCTCAAAAATGTAACTATTAATTAGAAAACTCTCATAATGTCTCAGATGAGCTGTCTTTAAGTTAGGGGCAGTGCATTAATTATGAAATGTAACCAATAAAAACACTTCTTGATAGTGACTTTCCTTAATAATAAAGGTAAATTCTGACTGAGTTAACTAATGTAGGTAGTAGGTTATCCTAGCTAATAAAAGAGTAATATGCAAATTGACCATCACTCCAACACACAAGATGGCTGCCCCCATGTGGTCAAAGATGGCTGCCCCCATGTGGACACAAGATGGCCACCACAAGATGGCCAGCAGGGGAGAGCAGTTGGGGGGATCAGGCCAGCAAGGCAGGGCAGTGATGGGTGACCAGGCTTGCAAGGGATGGCAGTTAGGGTGATCAGGCCTTTAAGGAGGGCAGTTAAGGGTGACCAGGCCTTCAGGGGAGGGCAGTTAGGGGCAAACAGGCTGGCAGGGGAGCAGTTAGGCATCAATCAGGCTGGCAGGGAAGTGCTTAGGGGGTGATCAGGCTGGCAGATAGAAGCGGTTAGGGGCAATCAGGAAGGCAGGTAGGCGAGCAGTTGGGAGCCAGCAGTCCTGGTTTGTGAGAGGGATGTCTAACTGCCTATGGGGATTGGGCCTAAACAGGCAGTTGGACATACCTTGAGGGGGTCCCAGATTGGAGAGGGTACAGGTTGGGCTGAGGGACACCCCTATCCCTGTGCATGAATTTCATGCACTGGGCCTCTAGTAACAATATAAAAGAGTTTACAGGCCTTGACTAATAACTAACAAAAACAAAGACTATCAGAATATAGTCAGGATCTTTTGAAGTCTATACTGCACTTTAGAAAAGGAGATAAAATGTATTTATTCTGAAAAGCAAACCTCTGAAAAGCATGATTAGCTCTAGTCTTTTGTTTTAATCATAACTTGCTAATTGCAATTTATACATATGTAACTATATCAATTTATAAAAACAATTCTTCAGAGAAATATGTCACCAGATACTCTGATTTTGTCAAAAATTAAAGCTTAAAATCTGAGTGTGATATAAAATATTTTAACTACTTAATTTAAAAAGAACACATATCATGCAAACAAAATGGGTCTGAAAGCCATATGCAATGCATATGTCTACCACCTAAGACTGTTAAAACCATTTTTTAACATTTTTGTTTTGAGACATAAGTAATACAGGTTACTGCTGGAGAGAATTGTTATTTCTGTAAAGTATTTTTATTACTGACGTTCATCATCAGGTTGCAAGTCTCAGTTTTCATTCAGTGAAGCTGAGATGTGCATTTACATTTCCATCTGCATAATGAACCTGTGGTGAATATGAGTTAGGGAAAAACTCCTTTCTTATTTCTGGAGTTCACTGAGAAAGATTTAGTTTGTTGAGAAAAAGCTTAAATGTGAAATTGAAGCCACATTCCCAAAGAATCTAAGTACTGTAATTGATCAAGCCCCTGCATACTTGAGGGTAGGCCATCTTTGGGGTTTCAAATTTCTGTAGTGTTGTCCTAGCAAAAGGAAAATTTATGTGAAATCCTCAGACAGTGAAAGTATATATTCTTATTCAAAGAATGCTCCTTTGGGTCATAAAAAAAATGAAGAGTCATTTGAACTCTAAGTATTTTAAACTAATATTTCTCACATTTTATTTTAGAATCCATGCCTCTTTCTGTATTGCCTACATATTTCAGGGTCTTCTCCCCACCCCCAAATTTTAAAATAAATAAAAATAAGAGCAATGATAGGGAAAACTATTATTTTGATCGTGAAAGGCATGATTTTATTGAGATGTTAATATTACTGTTGATCCTGCTGGTTTGCCTTACATTCTTCTATCTCGGCTGTACCGGACAGAATATTTAGCCCATTTGCAGTGATGGCCGTTGCATTGCTTTACTTTCAGCTCTGATGCAGGTGCTCTTTGCTTCTTAAAATGACTGTCCTGAACCATTTAACTAAGACTTTTCATTTTCACTGGCACTAGACTCTTTTTATTTTTTTCACAATTTTAAATACTATAAGAGGCTGGATCATTAATTTAGTGGCAAAAGGTTAACATTTGGTAGACTGAATTTTTATATGCTTTGTCCTTTTTTTTTTTTTTTTTTTTTTAAAGAAAAACTCAGGTGTTTGGTGGGGATTTTGTTCTGTGTTTTTCTAAGAGCAGAGGCATACACTTAAATTTTGTTTGGGAACTGTTTTCAGGCATTTATTGTTACTCTGAAAACTCTCCTAAACCTTGGAAGAATACAAACAGCAAATAATGAAAATGCTCTTCTTTACTGTTCCATTAAGTAATAATGGGCTATAATGTAATGAATTTTTAACCCTTTAGAGAGTTCACCTCTTTTTTCAAATGCAGGCTTCTTAATGTAGACTTGGGAGATGAATTTTTTTTCCTACTCTGGGCTAAGAGCCATGGTGGACAAGAGCCCTTGTTGAACTTTACCTGAAATTATTATTCAGTGTGTAAGCACTTTACATAGTTATTTTAAACCCACTCACTTAAAACTTCCTTTCAGCACTGTGCCAAGAATTGTTTCACATAATTTATTTCCTCTATTTTTCATTTACACTTGTCCTTGGATTCTTTGTCCCCTACGCGAGTGGATAACTTTCTCAATAGACCACTTTTCTGTATTTTACTGTAGGCTATTGCTCCCAACCGCCGCGCTGTGGAGGACTTACTTTTCCCCCCATCTGATGCCACTGCATATGCATCCCGCTTGCAGTTGATGATGCACCCACAGGGCAAGTGGGTCCAGCGTTTGGACAAGAGAAACACGGGAGTTACAGTGGTGGCCAGCAGCGTTAGTAGAAAGCTGAGTGACTCGAAGGGAAGGCTCTGAAAACCCACCACGTGCTGGACCACCATGTGGATCTGCAAAGGAGAGAGCTTCAGACATATCCCAGCATCACATTATTACTTCCCCAGACCTTTCCCCCCAGCATGCTGTCCCAGACTCTGCTTCCTGGCCCCTTCCCTGCCCCAGAGCTGGAAGTTATGCATCTGGCCTGGCACCCCTAGCTTTGGTGGTGGTCTCCTGGGACCTCAGACGGTCCAGACAGAACAGGACTTTGGGGGTTTACCCTCCTGAGTGTCTGATCTTGCCTGCTGCCAGCTCAAGTCTCTACCAAGGAAGCGCTGTCCACAATGGGGAACTGGGCGTGCTGCTGGGAAAACAGGCAAGTGTCTGTGCAAACTGAACCTGGTCCTCCGGGTGGTCACATCCCTGCAACTTCACCTCTGCAGGCCAGCTGTCATAGCAGGGTGCTTGCCCTGACACTTCTCAGCTGGAATCCCTCATGGAGGCTTGTACAAAAGCCTGTTTTGTCCCTTCTCTTCTCTCTACTTCTGATTGAGCCTCTCCTGTTGGGATGGGCGTTTCCTTCTCACCAGGCAGGAATGGAGTGGAGAGAATGGAATAACCACAGGAGATTGGGGAAAAACAACCACAAATCTCTCTTTTATAACTACCTCCTTTTCTGAATACTCCCAGGGATTGATTGCTATGAGAGAAGTGAACACCCTTGGCCACGGACAGACCTAGGCAAACTAAGTATCCAATGCCCCCAAGCTCTCCTTGCCCCCTCCCCAATTGTAATTTTGAAAGAAGCATTTGGTACCAAAGGCTTCTCTGCGGATCCGCGCTGCCCTTCAGTTGCCTTTCTACAAGTGCATCTCTAAAACCTTAAAACCTCAAGAGATACATTTGGAAGCGGACTCTCGGGGATTCCCCAAATCCAGGGGAACCCCGGTCCCAACACGCGCTCACGCTGCCTGGCACACACCCCCGCGCGCTCAGCCAGCAGCTGCACTTTTACCATCATGGGGAGCCAGAGGGTGACTTTGGTCAGCGCTAGGATCAAAGAGAAGCGCTTCTGCGCCGTGCTCACGGTGAAGCTCCTGGTGCCATAGAGAGTGTCCGGGTCCTCACGCCTGCAGGCTCCAGCCCCAGCGGCAGCGCTGAGCCCCGGCCCGAGCTCTGGCTCCACCCTCCCCGGCGGCCCCGGCCCCAGCACCGCGGCGTCCGAGCTCGGGGAGCATCCCGCAAAGCCACTCAAGGCAGAGCCCAGAGCATCCTCCGGGCACAGGGAGAGCACTCTCTCCCCGGTTGTTGGGGGGGTCCCAGGGGTGGAAGTTCCGCGGGAAATCTCCTGGTAGTTGGCGTAGAGTCTCAGCGGCTCCTCTGAGCACAGCAGCTGGTGAATGAGCGGCACCGAGAGGCCGGCGAGCAGCGCGAAGGCCGAGGTGTACACGGCGAAGAGCAGCAGCACGTAGGAGCTGGAGCAGTCGGCCAGGCAGCCCCAGGGCGTGCGCACGAAGGCGCCCCAGCCGCACAGCGGGAGCGCGGCGAGCAGCAGGCTGGCTGCCCACACGGCCAGGGCCACGCCGAGCACCTGGCCGGGTCTCCTGGAGGCCGCCCGGCTCCCTCCATCCGTCCTGCGCATCATGTAAAAGTTGTACGAGACTAGCAGAGTCGCCTTCAAGTTGCTGGAGAGGCCCTGGCACAGGTAGAGTAAGGCAGAGCTGGTGCACAGAGACTGGACGTAGCCCAAGACCTCGTTCGGCCACTGCAAGAACAGGAAGATGGTCACCGACAGGACGCTCAGGAGATCATCCCCGGACCAGGACGCCACGAGCAGGGACACAACCGTTCGGTTCTGCGTTGTCAGCAGGGAAACTAGCGAATAGATGCTGCCTGCCAGGGCTGCGAGGGTCATTAAGCATGTCAGGCTGAAAAGGTAGATGTTCAGAGTTGCTGGTGGATTTAAAAGATCGGTCGAATTCTGATTCACTTTCCATAGACTAGAGTCATTGGTTAGGTTACTGAGAAATACAGACATTGTCCTCGGTCAATATTTAATTTCCCTTCCCATGAGCCTGCACACAGTCTCAAAATAAAGTATGGTTGTTAGTTGCAAATCAGATCTCATTTTTCTCCTATCAAGTTTCCCTCTACCTGTTCCCCCATCAGTCGAGCAGAAACTGGTCAGTCAACCCATATTAAAAATTAGATTCCATTTAAAACATCAGTAAGAAACTTTTCAACATTGCAATTAAAAACAAACCAAACAAAACCTCCTCCCTGAAACCATCAAGTTTCAGGCATGAAAGCAAAAAGCTCCTCAGGCAGATTGGGAAGAAAAAAAAAATTCTCTCTGGGTCCTTTTGGGTCCTTCTTATGGAGCAAAGCAGTTTGTAGCTGGAGAGAATCAAACTCTTTTCACTTTCTAAGAGCAGTAAAAATGATGCATTTGTTTCCAGAGCTGGATTCAAAGGCAGTGAGAGTTATCGAGTATCGAGTATCGGGTAGGTTTCAGCTTTGCCGATTCAAGGAGAGAGGCAGAGAAAGACAAAGTGGGAGAGAAAGAGAGAAAGGATGAGAGAGACACAGAGCACAGATCCCCTTCTGAACCGCTGTGTTCTTCAATCAGCCAGTGATCTCGGAGCTGCAGGAAGGAGGGAGGAGCCAGCTCCGAGCAGGAGAGAAGCAGGAACAAAAGGGAGGGGAGTTCTGTGTATGAGCCAAAGGATATCCATCTTCTCAGCTTGCCTCATTTGAAACAAGAAGCAGTGTCCTTGCTAAGCCGCCCACTTTGGTTTTAACAAATAAAACCGAAAACTTGCTCAGGTTTGATGTGAATGACAAATACCATCTTAGAGAAGTCCAAGCTACATCATGAAGGGTCTACTTTTATTCTTATCCAGACCTCTCTGATGCATAATCTATTGGAGGAAGAATATTATCCATGCCATGTCTAAAAGAATAGAATGTACCAGCTTTGATTTTTGTTGCTGTGGTTATTTCTTTGTTTTTTTTTAATACAGGTTGGAGCAAAAGTAGGTTTACACTTGTGAGTAGGAAAAACAATTTATTTTTGTATTATTATATATTAGTTATTGTATTATTTACCATACAAACAACTATAAACCTACTTTTGCCCCACCCAGTATATGTTGTTCTTAATAATATTAAAAATGTCATTACAGTCCTCATTACACTAAGCAAGATTTTGCACTCTTTGATAGAGCCATACTAACTTTAGGGATATAACTATTTTCTGACCATGTCATCAAGTTAAGCGAGCTACCATTTGAATAAATAATATTTCTTGTTGTTAAAGTCAGATTACATAGGATAGGGCCTAAAAGGGGGGTAACCCCCCACAAAAACACATTTAGCCAGAGTGTTGCCAGGACTTTTGCATAGAATCATTGCATCCCTGAACTCATATAACAATGCTGAGTTTTGCAAGAGGAGTTGTTTAGCAGTGAAGTTACTGACAGCAGTAGTTCTGTCTGCCATTTCCCAGGATGCTTTGGGGTGGCTACCCTAAAGCATTCCTTCTCAGCTCAGCCTCATGACCAGAGGGTCTGAATGTAAGTAAGGTAAGGGAAAGAAGAAAGTTGATATGATTACAACCTAAAGTAATGGAAGTGCTAATAGAGCTCTGAGCACGCCATCCATTTTAGAGATAATTGAAGCTACATTTTGAACCTGAATCTGTTCAAGTGGGAAGTGATTGTATTAGTCATTGCCAGCCACACGCTTCGATAAATACAGTAGGCGCCTTGCTATTCTTCAAGTGGTGTTTGATTTCCCCTTTGCTCTGCAAATGGAAACACAATCATTGTGACAGCTAGCTCAGCACTCTAGCTCTCCCTACTGATATTATAGACCTTGGCAGTGTGGTGTGAGTAAAGATCTGGGATAGATTCATCTTAAAATAATGTTGCTTCAGAAAGCACAAAATGATAAACAGATTTTTTTTTTTTACTATGTTCAATGTTCTGTGGCATGCTATTTTCTCTCTTCTCTCAGATCTTATTCTTTCCTGCCATATGCAAAAATATTATTTAATATGGTATTTAACTCTGGATTTTCAGCTGGGTTAGACAATCAGTATTACACTGTTAAAAATGAATAGACATTAATAGTTGTTGCAATACCATTTGCTATCTAGGAACATCCCCTTTATCATTACCATCATATCTGCGTTTTCTATTACATATAAACTTGGAACAGAGACACCTTACCAGAATGTCACCTTGGTCTCTAGGCTATAATGAAAGGAAGAAGAGTGTTAGCACACATCCAAAAATTGGTGGAATTGCAGTCAGTGGGGGAGCTAGGAGAAATTTCTGAATTTTACTCCAGACTTTGCAGTTGTTGGTTGTGTAACCTTGGACAAAAGTTTTTATACTTTCTCTGAGTGTTTGCTTTCACATCTGTAAAATAAGAGGACTTGAATGGATTATTTTAGGCCCTTTGAATTTCTAAAAGGACAATATGATATTTAAATAGTTTGGGTTAACTTCACCTTAAATTTCTTTTCTGCCTGTTTCACAATAATCAATATTGTCACTCAGCTGTTGTTGCTCAGTGATTTAGTGTTGACCCATGAACCAGGAGGTCACAGTTTGATTCCAGGTCAGAGCATATGTCAGGGCATATGTGCTGGCTGGGTTATGGGCTTGATCCCAAGTTAGGGGCATGCAGGAGAGAGCCAATCAATGATTCTCTCTCATCATTGATGTTTCTTTCTCTCTCTCCCTGTTCCTTACTCTCTGAAATCAATAAAAAGATATTTTAAAATCAATATTGTCATCAAACAAAAGGTAGAAGCTTGTAAGAGATGATGCTTGGATTCTCCATGCTTTCTCTTTCCCTATGTGATGTGGAGGCCCTTATTAATATGAAGATGGCATAAGATGCATGCAGCCTGAAATATTGAGACAAATGAAGGATCAGGGTTTCCCTGGAGGTCTGTGGGAACCAATAGCAGCTTTGTATGAGTGAGAAGTAAAAGTTGTTGTGTAAATGGCTGAGTTTGAGGTTTGATTGTTACTGGGTGCTAATCTAGCACATCCTGTTATAGTTAGGTATACTCTTGATCCCACACAGGCCAAAAGTGGTAGAGCCAGATTCAAAAATCACAGTCTGGCTCTGCATTTTTAATTACATCAGACCCAGACTTTCTAATTACCCCTCTTGGCACCTCATGCTTGGGAACATTTCCAGTGGATGTTAATAATGATAACGTTTTGTTTTTGCTTTCCTTTCTCAAAAAGCATGTTTGGAATATCTAATTTTTCAAAATTTTAATTTATAAATAACTCTTGACCAAGCTTTATGATATATATATATATATATATATATATATATATATATGACTTATACACACACACACACACACACACACACACACACACACACATATATATATATATATATATATATATATATATATATATATATATATATAGTTCTTGAAAGGTGTAAGGTCTTTCCTTAATCATAATCTCATTTTCTTTACAGTGGCCTCATGAGCTAATAATAAAATAATCATTCTAAATGCCTTATACATAACTTTTAGAAAACTAGGAAGATGTGCCTTAAATTTTTTTCCTTTGTTCTTCTGAGACTCATTCCTATTTCTCACTTGCAATAAAATTATATCTATTTAAATATAAATTATGATTATGCTAGAACAACTTAGGTAAAGACTTGTTTATTGTTGTCCTACTGCTGCTTTGATTATTTTATTTAAAAAAAGTTTTAAATGATTTTTAGAGAGATAGGAAGGAAGAGAGATAAAAACATCAGTGAGAAAAACATCATTGGCTGCCTCTTATATACCCCCTACTGGGGATCAAGCCTGAAATCAAGGCATGTGATTCAAAACAGTGATTGCTTGGTGCATGGGGAAATGCTCAACCAACTGAGCTACTATGGCCAGGCTGCTTTGATTATTTTAAAACATATACCAAATATAGCATTACAGACTATAAAACAACCCACAGAGAATTACATGGCAGTAATTTCATTAGGCTTTTAGTTTATGAAGTCCTTGATATAATTATACCTTTGCAAAGTACTGCAGGCTATTCATTTCTCTAAAAGTCTACATTATATCTGAAAATCCTCAGAATAGGAAATGGCATTAAAAAAAAAAGTCTAGTTGAATATGGCAGAATAACATCCTTAGTAAACACAGGATCAATGGAAACATTTAGTCTTATTTTATGACAATAAAAAGGTATCATAGGTAAGTTAATCATGCAGATGATAATATTTCTCTTTTTAGAAATACAATGTTATGTAGCCAAAACTTTTTAGAAGACTGGCCCAGTTTAAGACTCTGCTAACGTAATAATCAGAGCTGAAAAGAAAGATCTCATAAATTATCCAATATATACAGTATATACAGATACATTTACAACATAGGTCTAAAGTCTAGATTTTATAAACATGTATAATAAATGTATAAATTTATATATGATTGTGAATATCTAATATCTATATTATATAAAATACATGCATACTCTCTTTTAGTTGATGGTTTTCAAAAAAGTGACCATCAATTTGGAGAACCCAATTGCTGTGATTTATTTTCTTCTTTTTCAATGTCTCATCAGAATCCTACAATATTTAATACTGTTTGATTACTATGAATAAGGACACAATTTAATTTGTCTCCAAGTCAAAGAGACTAACTTCATGAATCTAATTTTGAATTCTGCTAAATACATTGTTAATCAAAAGGTCTCTCAAATGGGGAATTTTATGATTTTTTTAACCTGTTTCTTGGATGAGACAAAAATTTGGAGGTATTTATGTATGTATGTACATCAGTATATACCTATGTATATTCATATGTTAATGTAGAACAGCTGTAGAGAGAAATAAGGTTATTTGCGGTGGGTGCTTCTCCTTTTTCTGTGTCCCGCAAAGGGAGAAGGACAGGTTCTGATTGGAGGAGTTGGGGATTAAGAAATAAAAGAAAGAAAGAGACAAGAGGCAGAAATAGATCCAAAAGCTGGGTGCTGGGTGGAGGCTGTCACTCTGATTGAGGGAGAGTCAACACCCACCACAGACAACACAGTGCATTTTATTAATTTCCAGAGGGGGGTTTAAGGTCAAAGAAGTTTTGGGT